AGCTATGTTTTGTGATCAGTTTTTTAGGCATGAATTAATGAAAACTTTAAAATGGCCATAACTCCTTAAATATTCACTTTTCGGCATTTTTAGCTATGTTTTGTGATCAGTTTTTTAGGCATGAATTAATGAAAACTTTAAAATGGCCATAACTCCTTAAATATTCACTTTTCGGCGTTTTTAGCTATGTTTTGTGATCAGTTTTTTAGGCATGAATTAATGAAAACTTTAAAATGGCCATAACTCCTTAAATATTCACTTTTCGGCATTTTTAGCTATGTTTTGTGATCAGTTTTTTAGGCATGAATTAATGAAAACTTTAAAATGGCCATAACTCCTTAAATATTCACTTTTCGGCGTTTTTAGCTATGTTTTGTGATCAGTTTTTTAGGCATGAATTAATGAAAACTTTAAAATGGCCATAACTCCTTAAATATTCACTTTTCGGCGTTTTTAGCTATGTTTTGTGATCAGTTTTTTAAGCTAGAATTAATGAAAACTTTAAAATGGCCATAACTCCTTAAATATTCACTTTTCGGCGTTTTTAGCTATGTTTTGTGATCAGTTTTTTAGGCGTGAATTAATGAAAACTTTAAAATGGCCATAACTCCTTAAATATTCACTTTTCGGCGTTTTTAGCTATGTTTTGTGATCAGTTTTTTAAGCTAGAATTAATGAAAACTTTAAAATGGCCATAACTCCTTAAATATTCACTTTTCGGCGTTTTTAGCTATGTTTTGTGATCAGTTTTTTAGGCATGAATTAATGAAAACTTTAAAATGGCCATAACTCCTTAAATATTCACTTTTCGGCGTTTTTAGCTATGTTTTGTGATCAGTTTTTTAGGCATGAATTAATGAAAACTTTAAAATGGCCATAACTCCTTAAATATTCACTTTTCGGCATTTTTAGCTATGTTTTGTGATCAGTTTTTTAGGCATGAATTAATGAAAACTTTAAAATGGCCATAACTCCTTAAATATTCACTTTTCGGCGTTTTTAGCTATGTTTTGTGATCAGTTTTTTAGGCATGAATTAATGAAAACTTTAAAATGGCCATAACTCCTTAAATATTCACTTTTCGGCGTTTTTAGCTATGTTTTGTGATCAGTTTTTTAAGCTAGAATTAATGAAAACTTTAAAATGGCCATAACTCCTTAAATATTCACTTTTCGGCGTTTTTAGCTATGTTTTGTGATCAGTTTTTTAGGCGTGAATTAATGAAAACTTTAAAATGGCCATAACTCCTTAAATATTCACTTTTCGGCGTTTTTAGCTATGTTTTGTGATCAGTTTTTTAAGCTAGAATTAATGAAAACTTTAAAATGGCCATAACTCCTTAAATATTCACTTTTCGGCGTTTTTAGCTATGTTTTGTGATCAGTTTTTTAGGCATGAATTAATGAAAACTTTAAAATGGCCATAACTCCTTAAATATTCACTTTTCGGCGTTTTTAGCTATGTTTTGTGATCAATTTTTTAGGCATGAATTAATGAAAACTTTAAAATGGCCATAACTCCTTAAATATTCACTTTTCGGCGTTTTTAGCTATGTTTTGTGATCAGTTTTTTAGGCATGAATTAATGAAAACTTTAAAATGGCCATAACTCCTTAAATATTCACTTTTCGGCGTTTTTAGCTATGTTTTGTGATCAGTTTTTAGGCATGAATTAATGAAAACTTTAAAATGGCCATAACTCCTTAAATATTCACTTTTCGGCGTTTTTAGCTATGTTTTGTGATCAGTTTTTTAGGCATGAATTAATGAAAACTTTAAAATGGCCATAACTCCTTAAATATTCACTTTTCGGCTTTTAGCTATGTTTTGTGATCAGTTTTTTAAGCTAGAATTAATGAAAACTTTAAAATGGCCATAACTCCTTAAATATTCACTTTTCGGCGTTTTTAGCTATGTTTTGTGATCAGTTTTTTAGGCATGAATTAATGAAAACTTTAAAATGGCCATAACTCCTTAAATATTCACTTTTCGGCGTTTTTAGCTATGTTTTGTGATCAGTTTTTTAAGCTAGAATTAATGACAACTTTAAAATGGCCATAACTCCTTAAATATTCACTTTTCGGCGTTTTTAGCTATTTTTTGTGATCAATTTTTTAGGCATGAATTAATGAAAACTTTAAAATGGCCATAACTCCTTAAATATTCACTTTTCGGCGTTTTTAGCTATGTTTTGTGATCAGTTTTTTAGGCATGAATTAATGAAAACTTTAAAATGGCCATAACTCCTTAAATATTCACTTTTCGGCTTTTTAGCTATGTTTTGTGATCAGTTTTTTAAGCTAGAATTAATGAAAACTTTAAAATGGCCATAACTCCTTAAATATTCACTTTTCGGCGTTTTTAGCTATGTTTTGTGATCAGTTTTTTAGGCGTGAATTAATGAAAACTTTAAAATGGCCATAACTCCTTAAATATTCACTTTTCGGCGTTTTTAGCTATGTTTTGTGATCAGTTTTTTAAGCTAGAATTAATGAAAACTTTAAAATGGCCATAACTCCTTAAATATTCACTTTTCGGCGTTTTTAGCTATGTTTTGTGATCAGTTTTTTAGGCATGAATTAATGAAAACTTTAAAATGGCCATAACTCCTTAAATATTCACTTTTCGGCGTTTTTAGCTATGTTTTGTGATCAATTTTTTAGGCATGAATTAATGAAAACTTTAAAATGGCCATAACTCCTTAAATATTCACTTTTCGGCGTTTTTAGCTATGTTTTGTGATCAGTTTTTTAGGCATGAATTAATGAAAACTTTAAAATGGCCATAACTCCTTAAATATTCACTTTTCGGCGTTTTTAGCTATGTTTTGTGATCAGTTTTTTAGGCATGAATTAATGAAAACTTTAAAATGGCCATAACTCCTTAAATATTCACTTTTCGGCGTTTTTAGCTATGTTTTGTGATCAGTTTTTTAGGCATGAATTAATGAAAACTTTAAAATGGCCATAACTCCTTAAATATTCACTTTTCGGCTTTTAGCTATGTTTTGTGATCAGTTTTTTAAGCTAGAATTAATGAAAACTTTAAAATGGCCATAACTCCTTAAATATTCACTTTTCGGCGTTTTTAGCTATGTTTTGTGATCAGTTTTTTAGGCATGAATTAATGAAAACTTTAAAATGGCCATAACTCCTTAAATATTCACTTTTCGGCGTTTTTAGCTATGTTTTGTGATCAGTTTTTTAAGCTAGAATTAATGACAACTTTAAAATGGCCATAACTCCTTAAATATTCACTTTTCGGCGTTTTTAGCTATTTTTTGTGATCAATTTTTTAGGCATGAATTAATGAAAACTTTAAAATGGCCATAACTCCTTAAATATTCACTTTTCGGCGTTTTTAGCTATGTTTTGTGATCAGTTTTTTAGGCATGAATTAATGAAAACTTTAAAATGGCCATAACTCCTTAAATATTCACTTTTCGGCTTTTTAGCTATGTTTTGTGATCAGTTTTTTAAGCTAGAATTAATGAAAACTTTAAAATGACCATAACTCCTTAAATATTCACTTTTCGGCGTTTTTAGCTATGTTTTGTGATCAGTTTTTTAGGCATGAATTAATGAAAACTTTAAAATGGCCATAATTCCTTAAATATTCACTTTTCGGCGTTTTTAGCTATGTTTTGTGATCAGTTTTTTAAGCTATAATTAATGAAAACTTTAAAATGGCCATAACTCCTTAAATATTCACTTTTCGGCGTTTTTAGCTATGTTTTGTGATCAGTTTTTTAAGCTAGAATTAATGACAACTTTAAAATGGCCATAACTCCTTAAATATTCACTTTTCGGCGTTTTTAGCTATTTTTTGTGATCAGTTTTTTAAGCTAGAATTAATGACAACTTTAAAATGGCCATAACTCCTTAAATATTCACTTTTCGGCGTTTTTAGCTATGTTTTGTGATCAGTTTTTTAGGCATGAATTAATGAAAACTTTAAAATGGCCATAACTCCTTAAATATTCACTTTTCGGCGTTTTTAGCTATGTTTTGTGATCAGTTTTTTAGGCATGAATTAATGAAAACTTTAAAATGGCCATAACTCCTTAAATATTCACTTTTCGGCGTTTTTAGCTATGTTTTGTGATCAGTTTTTTAGGCATGAATTAATGAAAACTTTAAAATGGCCATAACTCCTTAAATATTCACTTTTCGGCGTTTTTAGCTATGTTTTGTGATCAGTTTTTTAAGCTAGAATTAATGAAAACTTTAAAATGGCCATAACTCCTTAAATATTCACTTTTCGGCGTTTTTAGCTATGTTTTGTGATCAGTTTTTTAGGCATGAATTAATGAAAACTTTAAAATGGCCATAACTCCTTAAATATTCACTTTTCGGCGTTTTTAGCTAAGTTTTGTGATCAGTTTTTTAGACATGAATTAATGAAAACTTTAAAATGGCCATAACTCCTTAAATATTCACTTTTCGGCGTTTTTAGCTATGTTTTGTGATCAGTTTTTTAGGCATGAATTAATGAAAACTTTAAAATGGCCATAACTCCTTAAATATTCACTTTTCGGCGTTTTTAGCTATGTTTTGTGATCAGTTTTTTAGGCATGAATTAATGAAAACTTTAAAATGGCCATAACTCCTTAAATATTCACTTTTCGGCGTTTTTAGCTAAGTTTTGTGATCAGTTTTTTAGACATGAATTAATAAAAACTTTAAAATGGCCATAACTCTTTAAATATTCACTTTTCGGCGTTTTAAAAATAATTTTTTCTTTATTTTGTTCTAAAGTCGGAATGTAGAATTCTCTTAATGTATATCTTTGGCAAAATGAATCATGTGTTCACCACATTTTTATGACGAATGTACCCGAGTTGTTGTTTGTTCGACAAATTGCAATCCGGAATTTGTCAGGTATCCTTCCGTGTTTGATTTAGTGGTGATTTACTATAAATAGTTATGTCATAAAACCGTTTTCAATCATTACACTTCGAACTGTCAAAGTGAGAGCCTCGTGCAAATTCCCTTCATGGACATGGACAATTCCATGCCAACCAATCGTTTCCTGGAACAAATCTATACATCGCTGACGCAAGAGCTGGCCTTCCACGGCTTAAATACACATGGAATGTTGACAAATATGAAGCCACAGCGCATCGATCAAATCGTGGAATTCGAAATGAAACGCATTCAGGAGAACTGCAAACGAAAAGAAGTGCAATATGTCGAACAAATGTTGATGGAAAATCCAATTGCCATTGGAAGGCGGACAACAACGAGTAGGATATTACGGAGGCAATGTGACACCTTATTATCCCCGGAAAAAGAACAACAACAGCAGCAGCAACAACGAAGATGGGCAAGGGCATTTCGCCGTTCTCGTTACAATAATAAAATCAAAAAGGCCAAATCAAAATATCGCCACAAATACATATCACAGCGTCTGCTGCAGAACACACAACTGTTGAGCTGCATCAAGGATTTGATTGCTCAAACGGAAGGACATTTATTTGCCCAAGGCTGGAGAAAAGATAAAATTCATCAAATGCGTGATAATTATGGCATGGATTTGAATTCGAAGGACGGGTAGTGTATGAGGAATGGGAGAAGAAAAAAATGTAAATTTACTGTATTAAGTATTTGTTTTCAGTTATTTTGTTATAAACCTAATTGTTATTGTTTGTTTTAACCGAATTAATGAAAAAAAACAAATTAAGAACTTTAAGTCGGTTTTACCGACAAATATATACCCTCACCCAATGTTCAATTATTTAAATATATTTTGAGGTCAGTTATGATTATTATGTTGACCCTCTAGGGAGAAGTTTCGGAAGGAATGAGCCAATATTGTCCATTTCCAATATAATATAAATATCCGACGTGGTTATTTCCTCCACTTTATATGAGATATATGATAATATATTTTATATTATTTAGAATATGTTAAAATGTGCGTGAGGTACCGGATATAGTTGACCGAAATATTCCATTTTAGTACTTTATCTAATACAGATAAAAATATTGGAATGGGCGGAATTATCGAACATTTATCTCCAATTTAATGCGAAATCATAAATTCCATATTCATCTCAGGTTTCTGGTTGAGAGAAATATTTAGGCATAACAAGTGGTAAAAAATTGCTGACTTGTTTCGCAAGCTGTGACAGATAAAAGTATTGGAAATTGTGACCCTTTGTGAGTAAAAACGAGGTTTCCAGATATTATCATCTTCACAACAGATCTTGTGTTAACAAATCTGTTTGTATGGGTGAAATCTGAACAGAGTTGGATGCTTATTACGCTTTCTTTGGACGTTTTGTTTTCCAGAATCTTGAACCCTATATGGGTTCAGATCGCTACCATCTTTAAAACAGAGCTTGTGCTTATATAAAAATTGAGATGTGACAAGTCTAAATAAAATCGGGTGTTAATTTTGCATTTTATTAGCTTTATAGATATTCAAAATTTTTACCCTTTGTGGGGAGGTACCAGAAGGAGTGGACGGATATATTCCATCTTCACAACAGATCGTGTTTTAGTAGAAATACTGAGATGTGTGGAATATCAAGAGAGCCGGATGCTTATTTCGGATTTTATGATCGTCTTGGTTATTCAAAGCTTTGACCTTTGGGGGGGAGGTACCAGAAGAAACGGTTCGACCTCTTCCATTTTTATGAAATATCTTCTATCGATAAAAATCTTGAGATGTGCCAAGTTTGACCCTTTGTGGGAGAGGTACCAGAAGGAATGGTCTGATTTCTACCATCTTTATAACAGATATTCTATTGACAGATATATTGAGATGTGCTAAGTCTGAATGGAATCGGATGTCAGTTTCGCGATTTATGAGCTTAACAGATATTCAACATTTTTACCCTTTGTGGGGGAGGTATCAGAAGGAGTGGACATATAAATTCCATCTTCTCACCAGACCTTGGGTTGTTAAAAATATTGTTATGTGTGTAAAGGCAATCGGACTCTAACCTCACATTTTATAAGAGTTATTATTATTCAAAATGTTGACCCTTTGGGGGGGGAGGTACTTGTTGTTTTCGCACCTGACCTATCACTGATGCAAATATTAGGTTATGCAAATATTAGGTTATGCAAATATTAGGTTATGCAAATATTAGGTTATGCAAAGTTGGAGCAAAATTGGAAAAATACTTTTTTTTGAAAATATCGACTTTTGTGGGGGAGGTACCAAAAGGAGTAGACCTATATTGTCCATCTTCGAACTCCAAAGTTAGACAACAATATTACAATGTATCAAATTTGAATCAAATCATTGAAGGAAAGGTCCGATCTCTACCATATTTACCACAGATCTTATGTTGATGGAAATATTGAGATGTGTCAAGTCTGAATGGAATCGGATATAAACTTTTTTTCGTTTCATGAGTTTCATGGACATTACCCTTTGTGGGGAGGTACCAGAAGGAGTGGACCGATATATTCCATTTTTTGTAGAAATAATGAGATGTGTGGAATATGAAGGGAGCCGGATGATTATTTCAGATTTTATGATTATATTGGTTATTCCAAACTTTGACCCTTTGTGGGGGAGGTACCAGAAGGAATGGTCCAATCTCTACCACCTTTATAACAAATTTTTTATTGATAGAAATGTTGAGATGTGCCAAGTCTGAATTGGATGTTAATTTCGCGTTTTATGAGCTTTATAGATTTTCAAAATTTCGATCCTTTGTGGGGGAGGCAGCAGAAGGACTGGACCTATGCATTCCATCTCCTCACCAGAGTAATTACTATTAAAAATTTTGGCCTGATGGAGTGGACCGATGTTGTCCATTTTCGCACCTGATCATAGCACTGATGCAAATATTAGGATTTGCAAAGTTAGAGAACTTTCGGATTATCCCTTCGCTTTCTGTGGACTAAAACATTTTTTTAAATTTTCGACCTTTTTGGGGGGAGGCGGTGCTCATATCCGAACTTGATCTAAGTTTGACACCAGACAGAAAGACGTATCTAGATCGACTCCAAATGCCCTGAAACGGATTTGATCCAAAGAGACTTAGCGTCTAAAACCGTTATTTCGATGAGGCACGCTTTGGTCGTATCAAATGATAAATACCCTCTCTAGTCATATAGCTAGAGGTATAAAAATGCAATGGAATAGGCTTAGGTTTTTAAAAGGTTCTTTTTTATTTTTAAGAATTTTCGCAGCTCTTTAATCGTAGTGTTTGCTTACGCTTAGACCATAAAAAGGATTTGGTTTTTGACCAGTAATAAACCAAAATCTTACTACGGAACTGTATAATATACCAAAGGAACTACCTGACGACAGCAACAACAAAATATGAAACATGGCGCCATGCACGTACAATATTGCAAAATAAGCATAGCTATAGGTTATGTCATCACCAAATTTATACCTGAATTGTTAATAAGAAAGGTAATTATCCACCTGAAGATTAAAAAATGTCCGTTAAAAAAACAAACAGATTAAAGAAAAGTTTGAACCTGATGTTTTGAATTTCTATGAATGTCATACATTATCCTGACATTGGGTTATCTATTAGAATAACGGAACGGAAAAACAAAGTTTATGACTGGTACCTACATGCAATATTAACGAATTACAGCAGTTATAAAATTCTAACCCAAAATACAAAAACAACTTCCGCAATCTTCGCATATTCCGTACCTCATGAATTATCTTCATGTCAGAAAATACGTCGACATTTTTTCCCACATTCCTTCATTCGTTTGGCAATCTCTAATGTCAGATTTATTCCAACCAAGTTTAAACACTTCGGGTAATCCAACACATATAAATCAGCAGAAAGTACATCGATCAATAAACACAACGAAACGTGTGTTTTTGTAGAGGAGTGCGCGGTGCAGGGTAAGATATGAAAGTAATATTTTATGAAAGTAAAATCCCATTTCACCTGGAAAACTGAAAAAAAAAAAAACACACAACCATTTATATTTTGTAAGAAATGACACTGTGACACACACACACGCACGCACACTAAGTGCCTATGGCAATTGACGTGCCAAGATATGTCACCGTTGTGGAGTATATCAACAAAAATTAAAAAAGAGAAGTTTCGCTTAAACGCATTTTTCACAGAACTGCTGCAGGGCTCGAACAACTGCTCATTTGCATTCAGCGTCAGATTGTTGCAGAAGGAAGGAAGAAATATTATTTATTGCGTAAAATAAGATAGGATATCGCAAAGGACACTTTAAGGAGCATGTTTTGGTAATTATAAAAAAATCACAATACATTTTGCTTCCGCAGAAATATATAAAGCCAAAATTTAACAAATGCAATGCAATTTTTTATTATCTTTTTATACCAACAGCCATATGGCTACCGATGGTATATATCATTTGATGCGGCCAAAACGCGCCTCATCTAAATAATGGTTTTGGACCCTAGGTCTCTTTGGACCAAATCCGTTTCAGGTCTGTCTGTCTGGTTGGTGCGCACGATAACTCTTGAAGAGAGTATCCGATTTTGTCCAAACTTGGTACATCGTAATATTTTTGTGAAAGTTAGAACGAGTTCGGAGATGGGCAATATCGGTCCACTCCTTTCTGTACCTCCCTCACAAAAGCTCGAAATTTCCGAAAAAATATTTTACTGCACAGAAAGAGAAAGGATAATCGAATTTTGCTTCATCTTTGCAAATCCTAATATTTGCATCAGTGCTAGATTAGGTAAGGAAATGGACAATATCGGTTCACTCCATCAAGTACCTTCCCCACAAAGGGTTATTTTGAATATTCATAAATCTCATAAAACGCCAAATTAATCTCCGATTTCATTACAGGTTGAGAAAAAAAAAACTGCAACAAAGTCAAACGCCATAATTTTTGTGTTTTTTTTTTTAATTTTATTGAATGAAAGCAAAAAATGTCGGAAATATCATAAAATTTTAGAAAAAGTTTAGACTTGTTCGAATTGGTCACCTTTGGCACGAATTATGGCCTTCAAACGGCCAATGAAACCATCACACGCTGCCCGAATGTTGCTCTACGGTATTTTGGCCCATTCCCAGCGAAGCGTTTGCTTGAGGTGATCGACACTTTGGTGTCAACCTCGCTTTCCAAAAAATTCCAGACACAATAGTCCAACGAATTGGTATCCGGAGATTTTGGTGGCCATTGTGCACTGTAAATGAAGCAACGAACCTCATTTTGTACCCATTCCTAGGTGGTGCGCGCTGAGTCCTTTTGGATTGTCCAAGGTCTGCGGCCAAAATGTTTGCGTGCCCTAGGTTTTAATACAACCTCCAGAATATTTTCGTGATAATATTCGGCATTTATTCTGATGCCACGGTCGATTAATACGAACGGAGAGCGACCATCAGCTGTTATGGCGGCCCACACCATCACCACGGCCAGCGCTTGAGTTCTGGTGGCCAACCGAAACAGCTGACCTCTTTGACAAGTAAAAACGATCGTTTTGTTTGTTTACAAACTGCTGGACAACGAATGTTTTCTCATCGGAGAAAACCAAATTCGGCAGTTCACCACTTTCGGCCAAGCGAAACAACTTATTAGCTCTTTCGAGTCTATTTTTTGTCCGCTGCGGTGTAAGTTCTTGAACTTTTT